CCCCCCCCCACAGGGCTAGGCAGCCACTGGTCACTGCCTTTTCTCCCACTGGGCCAAGCCATGCCCCCTTTTTCCCTGCAGTGTCAACTTGGTGCCGAGCCCCACATCCTTCTCCGAAGTGCCAGGCCATGCCCCCTTTTCCCCCATGGCACTGGGCCATGCCCCCTATTCTCCAGTGTGGCTGGGTTGGGTCCAGGCCACGCTCCTTCCACCCATGGTGCTGAGTTATACAGCCAGTAGTAGAACAAGGAAGGATGTTTGCTATTAATAAGCAGTATTGGTATTAAAAAGCAGTAGTGTACATTTACAGCATTTCTTGGTAACAAGAAGCAATTTTTCCTCATCTAAAACACTGCCAATTATCTAGCAGCATTGAAAAAATTGTCATGTACATTCTGGTTTAGAGAAGTGATGCTTTAAAGAACTCTAGCTTGAAAACTCAAACCTATAAAACTGGCACAATGACAAAATTCTCTCCAAGGTAAAAGTAAACAAGATTTTGAATGTTATGGACTATATTGTTTAATTTTTAAATTATAAGCTAGTCAGTAATGCTTGCTTTTCAGAAGATTGTGAACTGTCACATCTCGAACATAGCATGTTTAGATATTTTTCATATTTCCTGGAAAAAGTCTCCTTTCAATTTAAGCATGAAGAATTGATCACCACAAGTATCTTCTCTTGTTTTCTAACAACTATTTCATGTCCTTCTTGCTAGCCAGAGTACACTTTGTCAAAATCATCTTTTGTTTGTTGCCTTGAAATTATTAATGTTTTAATTCACTTGGCATTTTCTGTATCTTTTTCATTCCCTTGTTCTTTGTTCTTTCTGCTCACTTGCCTGGTATCCAGGTAGAGCGGTGGTTCTCTATCTTAGACTCAAGACACCCCTTATTAGACTCGAGCTCCCCTCCCCCGATAAAATGCCAGCTCTTCTTTTTCACTCGGTTTTTGACTATGCAAAAATAATAAAGCAATCTTTCTCTTGCAAAAAACTCAGAAAGATTAGAACAGCTCAGAACACTTTAAAACTGCAGTTTCCTTTTTGAAATCTCTGAATTTATCTTGTGAATCATGTTTGCACACCTAACATTGCATGGCACCCTGCAGGATCCTCATAAGGATCTCAAAGCACCTCAGGGTGTTATGACACCCTAGCTGAGAATCACTGAGTTAATGAAAGCTCCTTAGAGCATGATATTGTTGCTTCCAAGGACCTGTTAGATCTTACTGTGACATGGTTTAAATTAAGCACATGACAGCTATCCAAGGGGTAAATCTACACCTGCAGTTAGCATGTAGCAATCAACTCTGGAGTAGTTTGTGCTGGACTTTGTTGCTTCCGGGCCCAGTGTTTACATATGTGCCCAGGACTGCAGGACACAGAGCTGGGGTGGATCAACCCTGGGTGACGGGGTCAGCCTGCCAGCCCAGGGCTGCTCTGCCCCAGCTCAACATGCTGCAGAGGTGCTGACTGGGGCATGAGGATGCTAGAGTGTGTGGCTAGCCAGCCCCAGTCACCATCTACATGTGCATTTCAGTGCACATAACTACTCTGCTGTAAGACAGTTCTTGTCCTGGACAATACTGTCCTATAGTGGAGTTAGTTAACTTACAGTGCCCTAATATGGACACATGTGTAAATGGTTATACTTTACTGCAGAGCTAATAAGTCAGCTCCACAGTAAAGCACATATGTAGATGTGTGCACCCAGTGAGTATAAACTTTAGTAAAGCCTTTATTCATACTATCAGCCAGGTGATCAGACTGGCTGACAGCAGGGATAGTGCAGGGTTGATCACAAAGTGCAGTTCTATTCTTTTTATATATTAGAAATGCTTATATCGGGCATACATCATTGCATTTTACTACTTTGTGTTTAATAACAGAATTACTTTCTCTTTGTAATTAGCCTTTGTCTATTGTACCTGGTTTCAGTTACTTCATGATAAATCATTCTTGGCACTGTGCACTTTTACAATCTACTGATTTAATGAACTTGATTCGAGTACAGCATCCCCTACACATATTGTTTCAAGTTTGGTCATACCATCCTACATTCATCTGTTCTCACAATTTGTACTGCTTCTATTAATCTCAGTTTTTCTGAACGGGTTCCAGATGTTCTGATGCATTCTACTGGTCCTCTGAGCTTATAGCTCTTCCTGGCCTGCCTTATGACCTGTACATGGATCTAATTTTTGTTTCTATAAACTGCATGTCATGATTCCATAGTGTCATGATTCCATAGTAAGTACTCTCCTGAAACAGCTTTTTGATTACAAAATGTGCAAAACAAAGAAATGTTATTTCTATAACAGATTAAAATTTTGGGAACAATTCAAAAGATCTGCTACTGTAGCTGAAATATACTGTGTTCTCTGTGGAGAAAGGAATGCAGCAGTCTTATTCCCAGGATTGTTAGAGGCCAGGCACATAGTAGAACTGTTTTAACTGGCTGCTAAGGAATGGAAAATTGCTATAGCCTGTTTACATAATATCCTTTGATCACTTCTAAAATTCAACTGGCATCAAGCGCACAGGATGTAATTTGTCTCCAATTTGATGCTTAGATTTGTAGATGCAGTTAACATAGAAAGTTGATGTGGTGGAAGAGGTTTCAAAATTACATTCTAGAATGAAAGAGAATAAATCCAACAAATCCCTTAGCATTGGTTCATTATCTTGACTTATTTTCTTGAGGAAAAGTAAATATTTTAAATATGTGGATCAAAATATATAATCTATAATACAAATTGTTTTAAATTATACTGTGTACATTCAGTATATGATCAACATTAATTT